TGATCCTAAACTCAAAAGTAGGACTAAGCTCTCGGTTAGTGAAATAATATTAGGTGTTCAGTTATGTCTAACCTCCACCGTATTCAAACTATATAAGCAAACGAATGTGGTGGGTGGCAATGGGATCACCAATATCCCCAATAGTAGCAGACATATTTATGGATAGTTGGGAACATAAGGCACTCTTAGAACGCTTAATCCAGCTCCAACTAGGTTATGGTGGAGACATGCGTTGAAATCTGAACATATCCCACAATTCCTCACACATTTAAACTCAATAGTTGAAGGAACCAAATTCACTTCTGAGTTACAAAACGAACAAAATAAGTTGACCATGCTAGACTGTAGAATAAAACAAAAGCAAAATAGTGGTTTAGGAAGCCGACACACTTCATCAGTCCGCTCGTACTCATTTATGGCTGTGTGCCCTGGCCAATGAGAGTGGAAGATATGAAAAGATTAGCTGTCATTGATCATAGGTGCCTGCGTTCTATTTCCCGTGTGAAGTGGTATAATAAGGTGGGCAATACTGAGGTTAGTCATGGGTCATCGGTGCTAGGTAGGTGGGAGAGGAAGTCAATCGACAAGGCTGTGAAGTTACAACGACTGAGATGGTTAGGACATGTGTTATGTATGCCTAGTCACCGCCTTCCTCGACGAGTAATGTTAGCGGATATAGGGTCAGGCTGGAAAAAAGCTAGCGGAGGTCAAACAAAAACATAGCCTCATTAGTCAATGAAATCCACAACAGTTAGTTTAAACCAGTCACGTAGGAAGGTGTAGACTTCCTGACTAGTTGGAGTCCTCGGGACGGTAAAAACCAATGGTTGGAAACAATTGGTGACATGGCTCAAAATCGTTCTCAATGGCTGGTGTAGATTCATCCACTCCTTGTGACTTATGATTTCCAATGAAACTGTTTTGTTCTACGTTATTACTTTTCCTTTGTCTCACACCTCTGCTTACTGTCTCTAATATGCATTTTGTCTAGTTTCTTCTCCTGCTTTATGTGCTACGTGGAGGGAGTATGGTGACATGAACTGCCTCACATTTGTGAAAAGTTCTCTGTCGAAAACAGACAGACTTTGAATGTCACCCATCTAATCCACAATCGGCAAAGGTAGGTTAAGTGTTTATATAATCAGGCCAAGAGCCTAACTAGTAAGTCAAAAGATTTAAATAATGAAATCAGACAAACAAATGAAGTATTACTGGTAAATAACTAACTACCCACCAGAATTTATTCAGAAATGTGTGCAGAACCATAGAAAAACTACGATTAGCAATAAAAGTGACGAAAATAGTATATAGTTCAAAGCTTCTATAGCACTGCCTTATAAAGAAAGAACGTCAGAGGCCCTACGTAAGATTCTCAATGAGGATGGAATTAGGGTGGTAATTAAACCAACCAGCCGACTATCTCAGAGATAAACTTTGTCGGATTAAGCACCCACCCAATGGGTCCATTTAAGAGAAATAATATTATGGTGACAGCTGTCTGCAAGCCAAAATTGTAGACAACACTTCACGTCTATGTTTACTTTCCGAATCGGGGTCATGAGAAAAAAAACAATTACAAGGCCTAACCTTGAGTAACTCAACAACCAATCATAGTAGACTTAGCGTGTTCAAATACGATTCGCAGATACACGGATAACTTTGTGAGAAACGGTCACAAGCAGTACAGAATGACCTTCAGCAAGAAAACAACCAATTAGGGGACGTTGCTTATCTGCTAACAATAATGTACATAAAAATCTATAAAATATCTCTTGATTTTCTCAGTAAACGAACTGTTGCCTGGCCCTTGTCTCCTGTCGTTACAATAGCATTTACCAAATACCTTGTAATCACTGTGAGGCCAGTTACATAAGTCTAACTAGTAGACCGGAGTCAATTAGATTATCGAAACATAGAAATTTAGCTAGACGTAGAATGATTGACCCTGATAAGTTCAGTAACCTAGAAAAAAGCTCAGCCATTGTACTGTATTCACCCGCATGGAACCACAAAATAGGGTGGGTGGGACAGATTGAGAGTATTAGCAAGTGATATAGTTAGCCAGAGAGATTAATCACTGAAGCTTTGTTTATCTATTCAATACCATAGCACACGTGCAGTCAATTGGAATGGCGCAATGCCTATACTGGAAAGCCTCCAAAGCCTCAGGATGGTCGGGGGTGGGTGCCTTGCGCTGCGGGTTGGCCACCCCTCCGTACACCTCTTGAAATGCTCCCATGTGACCGGGCGTCTTACATAGCCTCTCCTGAGGAAGTCCTACTCACTGCCTTCACGTGGCGTAGGTGTTTTTCACTAAAGTGAGAGGGCAAAAGCGGATGCCCGGCGCTCTTCACCGGGTTGACTGTCCATTGGATGACAGTCTAGGGGAGATGGCTAAACCCTGATTCCAAACCTCCAACGACTGGCGTATGAAGCTCACCGGCAGACGTATGGACAAAGGGCTTATTGGATGCCCTGGATGTCTGGCCCCATTCAAAAAGGCGAATGAACCGGACTCCGGTCACCGGCTGCCAACGGATAGTGGACTCCCTACTCCACTCCTACTGCCTTGTAGGTCACACTTGGCTGTGTAAAGGCTAGAGCTGCACTCTCAAACAAAGGCCGAGCGATGCTGGGGACATCACTCGTACCCAATTCCCATGAAACTTCATGGTCCATGAAGCCGGCTCATCCTCCCGTAGGAGATAGCCGAAGTAAAGTAAAGTAAGTAAGATATGGAAAGTGGTAACAAACAAAAACGGTGAGTTGGAGGGAGCGGACAAAAGAAAATATAAACAAGACAAATTGTGAGACCGTGTGACTGAAGTTGATACGAGTACGAATTTCAAATTGGACATAAATGTGCAGTCTGTTACTGTATAGATTTACGTCACAAAATTTCAACCCTAAAGATAGGGCTTCTCTAGTTGTAAGGTAGACAAGTTGACGGAGGAGTGATTGAAAACAAATTTATTATGGTCGATGGAGAGCTTCCTCTGTACTTCAACGGATTTGAGGCTCCTGTTCAATTCATAATTGACATTCTCAGCTCATATTTATCGCAATTCTAAAACTCTCCAACGTCACACTAGAAACCTTATTGATTCTATATTAGCTCGCGTATATTCCAGTTACAGTGAAATACATCACAGAGGTCTTCTGCTCTGTCCGAACTATCATCAAGTGAAAGAGAATCGTTCAATGATTATGAGTGGCAATAACTTATGCTCGAAACCTTGCCATTCAGTTGTTAATACTGCATCACTGTGTGTAATACCAAATAATCCTATCTAAAATGAGATTACTAGTTATGGTGCCACTACGAGCACCACGGACAACTGAACGAAGATGTACATGCTCAGAAACTACCAATCGTTTACATAGCCACTTCTGGTGGGTATGCTGTACAGACGTTGAACAGGACGGAGAGAACTTACGCTCTTCGGCAGATACTCTGAATCGTATCTGAAACAAAGGTGACAACAGGTTGTTTAGTGCTAAACACGAATATTTTATCTAAGAATGGATATCCTGATAAGTTTATTAATAAATACACTAAAGAAACTACCCCCTGCAAAACAATTCAAACAGTTCCGAAGAAACCTGTCTATATCAGTTTGCCATTCAAACGAGATGACGTACAGGAAGTAGTCAAACGAAGACTCGACAAAGCCATCATGAGAACTTAGTATGCTGCAAAACTTGTTAACCTTAACAACACCAAGCGGGTGCTTCAACAATCTGGGAAAGATCAGTCGACAATCCTCGACACTTCAAACTGCGTATATCAATTTGAGTGTGTTTGTGGCAGCAAATACAAAGGTCATACAGAAAGGCGACTGTCTACTAAAATCCTGATGGACCATTTGCCAAAATGGTTGAAAATAGCTGAGTGCAAAGTGCCAAAATCCTCAATAACAAAACATCTTGTGGATTACGGACATGATAACGACACGGTCAAGTCATTCACCATTGTCAGCAAACAAAGAAACAAGAAGATGCTTGCAACTGCAGAGGCTTGTGCAATTCGAATTTATAAACCAGCTCTCTGTATACAAAAGGAGATGGTAGTGACTCTGAATCTACCATGGTAATACGTTTTACCTATCATTCTACCTCTTTTCATTATTATTATCATTATTCTTGATTCATTTAAAACTAAAACTCACTTCAATACTATTATTAGTATTATTATAACTATTACTATTGATATTACTCTGTTTGCAATTCTTGATACATTCTCTAATGACTAATTGTTTATCTAATTGATGTAATTGTAGCGTAATACATTTTATCTTAACTTTGATCTCTTATACTCTCTCTCCCCTTACCTATCTATTTGAACATGACCTGGAAAACACTCGCACCTGTCTTTCTGCATGACTAATTCAATGTAGTTTATTTACTTATCAGTGTTATATCCCTCAATGTAATTTCAAAAGTATATCTATCCGTGTATGTAGAGTATTCAGCTGAGAAAGAGTTCTACCGAAATTTGATGAATTCATCATATTAACCTTTATTGCTTGTTTTAAAGCCCTTTTGTATCTGTGCTGAGATTTCAGTGGCCAGTTTTTTCTGGGGTGTTGACGCCACTTCCAGAATTAGTGAGGCAGAAGTCAACACAACCTGATTCATAAACCAAAGGTTCGTTTACCGACAAGTTGTATGCCGAGCTCAGTTAGATATTCCATCGAGATAATCAGACGCTTATAGTTTGTCAAGGTCATCACTGGTATCACAAACGTTCCTGGATGATGGTGATGTCGAGTATCCCCCGGGTAACCAAAGGTCACAGATCTTCAAACAAAACTATTTCTGATCCTAAATACTAACTATGCGATAATCGGTGAAGATATTGAATGACGCACGGCACAGTTAAAACAAAGGGAAAAACACACCATATTTTCAGATTACAATACATATATATGTACTCCCCCTATCAATCAAACAAAATGTTAGAAACATTCGATTGCATATTTGCCCAAAAATTCTGACTCCTAGTAACAATCATCATCATGATCTTGTCGTTTTTCTTCTCTTAACTTGATCAAATCATCAATGCGTAGAATTGTGATAGCCGCTTCGGCTGCAAATCTTAAACTTTTAATTTTTGACATTAACGGTTCAAAGACACCCAATTCTCGACAATCAGCAACACGTTGGTTATTTAAATCTAATCCCCACCTGTACATGAATAAAAAAAATGCAGAGAAGAAGAGAAATGTTATTGTAAATATACACAAGTTATATACAACTGATTATGTTAGGCGACAAGTTGTGTATTCAGTGTGTACTCAATATTTACAAAAGCCTTTCTCATAGCTATATTATTAACTGTAAAGTTAGCATGAAGCATTATAAAACGTCGAAAGGGATAATTTTGGCGTAGCCTAGAGCACACAGGTATAGTTGACTCACTGTCTTTCACAATTTGAAGCTAAAAACAATAGGAAATCAATACTAACTAATTAACTACCACTACACGAAAATAAAATGATCACAGAGTCAAAGTTTGATGCGGTTGCGAAGCTGTATCGACTGAAATGGTTGGTAGGGAAACATTTGTTTTTCATGCCGAATCACGCCACCCTCAATGAGCAATGTTAGGTGACGTAAGGCTGCGCGGGGGAGGTATTGGAAAAGAATTAGGAGTGCTCTAATCAAAACCTGACACTTATTCATAAAGTCTTTGACTGCTCGCTTGAGCCACGTAAGGGTGTCGCCGAGATGCTAAGAACCAGTAGCTGAAGAGTACTGGTGATATGGTTCAGAGCCGTCCTCAATAGTGCAGATGCATTCCGTCTGTCTGTCTCTTTTCAACATAGAACTTGGCACCGATGTGCAGCGGTTCCATTCGCTACACTTCACTTAACACACAAAGCCAGAGAAGAAGAAAGTAAAACGAACCGCAAAATAGAGTAAACAGATAAATAAGGCAAAAAGAATAGTGATACCGAAGAACAATATAGTTTTATTGAATATTATAAGTCACAAGGAGTGGATGCATCTGCGCCAGCCAATGATAACGATTTTGAACCATATCACCAATTGTCTGCAGACATTGGTGTTTACCGTCCTGAGCGTCGGTTGCATAGCGGTTAGGACGCACACCAACCATGCACATGGTCCGGGGTTCGATCCCCGGCCGACGCAGTCCCTTACCTCGCTAGGCCAGAAATAATCCTGGTAAAGGGGAAAGGTTGGGTATGAGGCTCGCAACCCCATCCTGTAAAAAAACACTGCTACAGAAACTTCAAGCCACTAGCTTGAAGCCTTATGTTCCAGTGGGGAACGCGAAGGAAAAAAAATTGTCCCGAGTACCCCAACTAGTCAGGAAGACTACACCTCCCTAAGTGGCTTAAACTCAGTCATGGATTTCATTGACTGATGAAGCCATGTTTTGGTTTGACCACCATTGGCTGTTTTCCAACCTGATGCATCCTATGTCAGCTAACATTGCCCATCGTCGAGGAAGGAGACTGTCAGACAGGCGTAACACATGTCATAACCATTTCAACCGGTTGACTGAGATTGATTTCCCCTCCTTACTTAGCACTCGACCGATGCCTAACCTCAATATTGCCCACCTTATTTAAACCGCTTCACACGGGAGATAGGACGCATGCGCCTATGATCAATGACAGCTAGTCAACCTTTTCACGTCTTCCACTCTCAATGGCCATGTCTCACTCACAACCAAAAAGGAGGACGGAACGGACTGCTGAGTACTACACCCATCCTTTGGTGGACAGCCAGCTGGATATCACGTCTACGCCAGAGATGGCGTAAACTGGCATATGCAAAACTAGCCCTCTGTATCCGTTCTGAGATTTCGTCAGCAATCAACCCTAAGTAATCCTCCAAATCCATTAATCGCCATGTTTTTCATGTCATTATACTTTTTCTTGCCTACTTGAATTCTTGTCAATCGCTTTTTTCAACACCTTTGTGTGTGTAGTGAACTGAACTGCTGCGCTTCTCTGTAGAAACTTCTATACTGAAACTCAGTGAGTCAGTCAGTCAGCTACTGTTGGGCATTCCAAACGGAAACTAGGCAATTTAAATACAACGATTACTTTCCCTTTCATAATTCCTGTCATCAGGTAAAGAAATCACAGTCTGAAAAGATGGTTCAGTTCTGTCATGAGATGTCTCAGACTAAAAGGTACACTGCTCGTTGACTAAGAATAACCAAGGAGTATATTGAACCATGCATGCTTCTGATGGCTTGATATAAGTTACATATTGTATCACACTTTTCAAGTGTCGAGTTAGCAGCAAAGATTTGATTGATTTTAAATTCTATCACGAACTGACCCGTTATTATTTTATGTATCTAAATGACAGAGCCTGGTCTGTCTGTCTGTTTTCGACATAGAACTTTGCACGAATGTGCGGAAGTTCAAGTCGCCACATTCCGTGTAGCACGCGAAGCAAGAGAAGAAAGTACAAGAAAAGCATAATAGAAACAGTGAGCAGAGGTGTGAGAGAAAGGAGTAATAAAGAAATACAAAACAGTTTCATTGAAGACCATAAGTCACAGGGAGTGGATGCATCTGCGCCACTGAGAACGATTTTGAGCCATGTCACCAATTGTTTCCAACCATAGATTTTTACCGTCCCGAGGACCCAAGCCTGGAAGTCTACACCTTTCTACGTGGCTTAGACCAACTGTTGTGGATTTCATTGACTGATGCCAAGTTTTTGTTTGACCGCCGCTAGCTTTTTTCCAGCCTGACCCTATATCCGCTAACATAGCTCGTCGAGGGAGGCGATGGCTTGGCATACGTAACACATGTCCGAGAGTAGAGTATAGGCACTAAGAATATGCGCCACACAATAATACTAAAACAACAACATATGAAAAGATAGATAGAAAATGAATAAGGACTTTGTCCACAAAGGAAGCAGTTATATTCAGGAAGACCAAACCAGCCTTTTTCAACTATTGTCAGAAAGGGAAGAATAAAAGAAATTGCAGCACGTTCGCCATTTATCAAGATTATCGGTGATATCTGATAACTTTTCGAGCCATAGATCTCTCAGACTACAACCAAGGAGTCCTGACGCACCGTTCAATGGCAACCTACCACAAAAATCCTTCATCCCACGACGCTTCGTCATGGGCCGACCACCTCTCCGCCTTTAATACCATCCTAGGGCTAGCGAACAGAGACTGATACGGAAGTCTTTAGGATGACATTCGTAGAACATATCCAAGCCACCGAAGACGGCGTTTCCAGATGACGACACGCGATGCCATCGAACGTAAGCAATCCTGTGGAGACAGCAGTGATCGAATACGCAGAGTCATCGCACATCCTTAGCTCGGAGAGGCTAGGTTTCACAGGTGTAGAGCAAGACTTCACGCACCGAAGCATTGTAAACCAGACGTTTAACAGCGACTTCAATTTGAGAACCACTAAAAACCAGGCATTACTAAACATCTATTTCATCCCTATTTGGCACTCTTCAGTAGCACACACCCACCACTCTACCGGAAATCAAACCCAGGAGCTTCATGTTGAAAAAGCGAGTTGGGAGACCATCGCACAACTTGAACAGAATTCAATGACCCATCAGTCCTAACTTTTCCAATTCGTGATATATATATATATATATATATATATATATATATATATATAAGAGAGAGAGAGAGAGAGAGAGAGAGCGACCGCCAACCAATGTCATCGGCGAATATCAGCCGTTACTCGGAATTTAGTGTGCCCTCGAACCTGAAAGCTCTGACTACATTAAAATAAAACTTTCGGTGTAGCAGATCAAGAATTATTCAGATATATGATATCGGAAAGTGAACAACATAACACGAAATTTCTGTGAAAACACAAATAATGTAATACTGTAATTTGATGAGAACTCGATAGGGAAGTAGTTATCTAATATAGTGACACTACCTCTCTAAAAAACCCTTTCTCTGTTTATACTAAACTGTGGTTCACAAGGGCATCAATAACTACAGTTATTGCCTTTTATTCGAATACACTAGTTACTGAGACAGCAAACTTACCATTTGTAATGCGCTTGATCAGCTTTGGTTTGACTTGAAAAATGACAAGATCGCAGACGAGCAAGTAATTCAGTCGAGTCAAGACCAGCATTAACAGCCAACTGTTTTGGAATGGATAGCATAGCACGAGCAAACTCGGCGATTGCAAGTTGTTCACGTGAGCTTAAAGTAACAGCATAATTTTCCAGGTAAACTGATATGGCGGCTTCACAAGCTCCAGCACCGGGGACAATACGTTTGCTCTCCAGAACTCGTTTAACCACCTTGTGGGAAAAAAGAAAGAAAAGAGAATCGAAATCCACATATGTCGTACGTAGCATTATTTTACAAGAGCCTCCATAAACGACTTGGTACACCTGAAGATGGGTAGATTTTAGTCTTCCTCTGGAAAAACTCTCATATAACCACGCCACGCTTATAGTCTCTACCAGCCAGGTAAGTCCTATATTCACTGCCTTCATGTGGTGGCGGTGTTCCTTACAAAAGTGAAGGGCCGAATGCGAACGTCTGGTGCTTAAAACCGAACCGGAGGACATGTTGGTCCACCAAGGGGGGACGGATCGGAAAACCCTAAATCCTGGCTTATGACTTATATGACTTACGAAATCCGAAAATATCGAGTGGAGTATGAGCCTTTTCCGGTCACCGGAATCTATGAGAATCCACCACTGTCTTGTGGACCAAACTTCAAGTCAAATGCTTGGGAGTAACCTTTTAACACAACCACCTGCTTCAGTTTAGACGTCCAGGTGGCATCTTTTGGTGTGCTTCAATGAAAAATATATAATATCGAGACTGAAATGGCTGAGGTAGAATTTTTAACCGAGGACCTGAAAACTGACTGCTTGAGCCAACAGACTATATCTTCACTATAAAATGTAGCTTCAAATAGGCATGCTGAAGATAGAGAACTGATCACTATGACCAGAACGTGGTTTTAATCCGTGAGACGATACTTTATTAGGCAATACAACAATCATAACTCAATAAAATAAAATTTCATCCAAAATGGGGCAACTACCACAACAACTCAAGTGAAAATCACCAAACAAATGATAAGCATAATAGGAACAAACCAGTAAGGCGTCATGCAGAGATCGTTCCATTTCATCCACATAGAAGTCATTAGCACCTCTCAGAATGATACTTGCTGATGGTCGAACTTTAGGACCTCTTAGAATAATCAATTCATCATCGCATATTCTTTCTTGAGAGATTTCTTCTGCCTAAAATATTATTGGTTTAATGAGTTTAATTGATATATACAAAGCTTACAGTGCCCAATTTTGTTGGATCAAAAACTTCATCACCTTCCATATCTGCTAAACTGACAATCAGTTGACCACCAGTAGCTTTTGCCATATTCTTTAGATCGACTTTTTTGCATCGTCGAACTGCCATAGCATTGGCTTCAACAAAATACTTCATGCACAGATCGTCGATACCACCGGTGGTTAGTATAACGTTAGCACCAGAACTCAAGATTTTCTGGATACGCTCTTTAGTGATATCAGCTTCACGTTGTCGAATTGCTTCTAGCTGGCTAGGATCTTTTACAACAACCTGAAAATAATGATACATAGGGAAAGTGAATTATTGACTAAAGCAACAGGCAGAAATTAATCCGATTAAATGATGATTTGTCTGTCTAATAAAAGCATTAGGCCTATAATCACATTGCCTGAAATGTATGTAAAAATATTACAAGCATATTTCCAGTCAGTATGCGAGGTCCAGGCTTTTTAGTTGGTTGAGTTCTCTGAACTGGTTGAATTATTTGTGGAGCTTACGTCGTCCATCTACATAACATATTCAGAGCAAGCTTTCATGTGAAGCTTCGCAAAGAAATCACCCAGCTTAGAGTACACTACACCAAGTAAAAATCATCCAACTGAGTTATGAATCTTCTCTATTATTATGAAGTTTAGTCCATTTGAAGTCCAATTACTTGGAACAGATTATGTGAGGTTTGATGATACCAACCTATGTCTAAACTTAAGTAGGTGCAACAGGACTCGAACCTGGAATCTGCTGTGCTGTAAATCGACCGCTTAATTCAGAGTAGCACGTCATCCAGTGAACTCCTGAACTAGGAAGACTAGGGTGATATAGAATTTCCTGCACCTAGAAAAAGATCGTCATGAGGGGAAATATACACATGTTACCAAAGGGGGATCCAATGTTGCTGCACAGTAATTTAACTTGCTACATCTCAGATCCAAATACAAGTAGCAAGTGATAACAGAAAGATGATATTATCCCAGGTCACAGGATGAACGATGAGACATTACTCTGATCGACACCACATAGTATGTGTCAGTGATTCAACGGTAGAAGGCTCCACAGTAGCACACACACGGTCTAGGTTCAACCCTTGACTGTCTCACTTGTAGAACTCGCCTAGTTTACTAGTCAGAAGTAGGCCGTAACACACGTCCTAACCATCTCAGTCGATGTAACTTCACAGCCTCGTCGATTGATTTCCCCTGTTTACCTAGAACTCGACGCCTAACCTCAATACTGCTCACTTTATTATACCACTTCACACGGGAGATAGAGCGCAGGCACCTATGATCAAAGACGGCTAATTAACCTTTTCATGTCTTCCACTCTCAGTGGCCAGGTCTCACAGCCATAAAGGAGGACGGAGCAGACAAATGAGCAGTACACCCGCCCTTTGGTCGATAGTCGGATATCGCGTCTACGCCAGAGACGGTGTAAACTGGCATATTCGAAACTAGCCCTTTGTATACGGGCTGAGATTTCGTCAGAGATCAACTTGTTGGGGTTGATGCTACTTCCCAAATAAGTGAAGCAGTCGACGTGCTCTAACACTTCCTTCCTATTTTAAAACTAGGAGTCGCTGTAGTTCAGTTCTGTAACATCATCTTGCATTTGGTGGGAGCGAATCGCGTGCCAAACATTCGTAGATTGCAGCTCAAGGTGTTTAGAAGACTCTGCATTTTGTCAGTCTTCTAATGATAAGACTGGTAAAGAGGAGAGGTTGGGCATGAGGCTAGCAACCCCATTCCATAAAAATAAAACACCACTGCTACCGAAACTTTAAAGCTCTAACCTGAAACCCTATTTTCCACTGGGGAATAGAATGAAATAATAAATACAGGTAACTACTCATTCACTATTACAGTTGAACTTACTTGTACACCGAGTTTCATTTTAATTTTCTGTAAACTAAAGTCTAAGAAGGCAATTTTTGGTTTCTTGACAATACGTGGCATTTGTTGGCTAGCAACAGTACAATTCAGTGCATAACCATCAATCAGCATACTCTCTGACATTGATTTTCCATGAGCTTTTAAAACATTGATTGCTTTTATTGGATAGACTGGATCTTTGCCAGCACCACTCACTTCAACAGCCATAACAGCATCGACAACCATTTTAGAAAATTTATCTGCATCTCTATAAGAGTAGCGATGAAAGTCATGAAGTAAAAAGAAAAACAACTTACAAATTGATAATTTTACTCGACATAGCCGTTTTTGCAGCATTAATTAACTCTGCTTTGCCTAGCTTACTAACATCAAACACCATATGCTCTTGAATGTATTTACAGGCTTCTCGGCAAGCCAATCGATAACCATTGATTACAGTTGTTGGATGAACATATTTCGAAATTAATTCATCAGCATTTTTAAGTAATGCAGCGGCTAATATTACAACAGAAGTTGTTCCATCCCCAACTTCTTGATCTTGTAATTGAGCTAATTCAACAAGAATTTTTCCTGCAGGATGTTCAACATCAAGTAGTTTTAAGATTGTTGCTCCATCATTGGTAATTGTAACATCTCCAACATCATCCACTAACATTTTGTCTAATCCAACAGGACCAAGGCTGGTTTTAACAATGTTAGCGATTGAACAGGCTGCGAGAACTAAGAAAGAGGAAGAAAAGGATCGTAAATGTCGACTTCTGTAAGAACATGTAGAAGCAAGCAAAGAGGATATTAAATTTAATTCTGTACTTTAATTTCGACACAAACTTGTATTTGTAGTGAAGACTACCGCTTGCTTCATGGAAATAACCGTGAGACGATCATCAATACCATAGAGAGATTGTTTGAACTCAGCAGGAACAGATCACTTGTGTACCAGGTGATGAGCTGATGTTACTACCCAGCTGCCTAGGTTACAGCAGGTGAACCACTAGTCATAAGTCGAGTGCTTAAGTCACTGAGCCATATGTCCACTGATACACAAAACTCAACCGAATGCTTGATTTATAAAACAATCTTATTTGCGTATCTTCCCATAGTGTTTAATAGCATTGTATTTTTTATTGTCTTGGTTTTATTCTCATCCTCTAATTAGCCTTTATCTAAGTCGAATACAGGTGAATGAATAGTAGGTCCTATTTTGATAAGGCTTATCCATCAGTTTGACTTAAGATGTTTTTAATTCTCAACTATCTTTATCTAAACAGAACACTCCGAAATACTCCATAATGGGAAGTGTTTTACATGTTCTTCCAAGTCAGATTCTATACTGCCACACACAAATCAGATGATACTGTGGTTAGGGATACACGTAATTCTGAAGAATTTCACAATTATTTGGTCTTCGCGAAGACAGTTTATTTTGGACACCTAGTCTTATTAATCCCGTTTGGCCAACTATTCGAGGAATTAAGCAAGCTGAAATAAGTTGGACAAGCTATTCTCCTGCATAACAAAATATTGTGCCGCAATCAAACCACCATGAATTCCTTATTTAGTCAAAACCATCTCTAATCTCTTGATACATACGAGTTGTCCAGAGACAATAAAGACTGGTAGTTTAAAAATCAAGCAGGTCAAGTTGTTACCTCAAATGGATAAGAAAATGAGCGCAGTTTTGGTCGAGATAAACTTAACTTTCTTCCAAACCGATCAAACTTCAACCATTATCTGCTTTACTTACTTTAATAGTACAATAACTCGTTCACTGATCCAGTGAATTGTGACAGAATCCTGAATTATCTTATCAGAAACTGAAATCCACTGTTTAAAATAGTTAACTAATAGACAGTAGTATGTAAACACGAGGACAGAATCTTCTGAAGCAAAATGTGAACATAAAATGTATGGTAGTGATACTATTTAATGTTTAGAGGGATAGAAGTTAGGTCAGAATATGAAGTCCCCTACTGATGCTTACCATAGTAAAAACATCAGCTTACGCTGCTTTTATTACCATTTTATAAATTGATATCGGGCTTCTGCTAAGCATCAACAACCTTTGGATTTATACTCATCACTACCTGTCAATGAGAGCAGCTGGACTAACACACTAGTACAATTTCACTGCCTAGATGAAGTATATGCAATTTTCTTTAGCTAATTTCGTTAACTCTGTTCACTTTCGAACTTCACTTCTAGTGTGTATTGTTTTGAAAAGACTCGCATTTCAAGATTAATCTCCGATACTGTCATATACTTTTAAAGACAAAATTAACGCTCGCAAACTACGTAATAACATCACTAGAAAAGACGATTTTGATTGATTATGGTGACATCACATATAAATAGGTAAGTTCCTGAGACATGGAGAACACTTATGATATTACAAAGGTAAGTCGTATCACCGCCTCTTCGAATATGAGGATGGTATGGCCCTTTAAGGTGAAGACTCTAATAGAGTACAGTCTTCTGAACACCTTAAGCGGGAATCTTCGAATATTTAACATGCGATTTGCTTCCGTCAGATGTAAGAGGGTGCTACAGGACTGAACTACATTGACCCTTAGGCTAAAAATAGGAAGTGGATTGGTTGATGGGGTGTCAGCTTCAATGGGGTAAAGGCTGACGAAATCTCAGCACGACACACAGGGCTCGTTTCGCATTTGCCAACTCACGCCATCTCTGGCGCAGACGTGATATCCAGCTGGCTATAGATCACAGGACGTGTGTGCTGCTGAACAGTTGACTCCGTCCTCATTTATGGCTGTGAAAGAGACATGGCCACTGAAAGTGGGACATGAAAAAGCTCTCTCTGATCTTAGGTGTCTGTGTCTTTTCTCCCATGTTGGGTGGTGTAATAGGGTGATATTGAGGTTAGGAATCAGTTGAGTGGGGAAACCAATCGACGAGTTTGTGAAGTCACACCGATTGAGAGGGTTCTGACACACGAGCTTACGCATGCCTAGTCATCACCTCCTTCGATAGGATTTGTTAGCTGACATAGGATGAATCAGGTTGGCTGTAAAGGGAATTCCAAGAAAATATATTGCACTGATTAAGGCACTCTATTCGTACTCATACAGCCAGGTGAGGGCTTACGGCGAGCTGTCATCTGAACTGATGACGACCAGTGGTGTCCGTCAAGGATGCCCATTATCTCCTTTTCTATTCAACTTCATCATAGATGTGTTAATGGACTTAACCATAGGTGACTTCAGCGATTCAGGGATTGACTTGCTACCGGGGAATAATCTCGTTGACTTGGAATATGCAGACGATATAGTCCTTCTAGGCGAAGACGCTGAAGAAATGCAGAGTCTTCTAAACACCTTGAACAGCAATCTACGAATGTTTGGCATGCGATTCGCTCCCGCCAAATGCAAGATGATGTTACAGGACTGGACTACATCGACGCCTAGTTTAAAAATAGGAAGTGAAGTGGTAGAGCACGTTGACCGCTTCACTTATTTGGGAAGTATCATCAGCCCCAACGGGTTGATCTCTGACGAAATCTCAGCACGAATACAAGGGGCTCGTTTCGCATTTGTTAGTTTACGCTGACTCTGGCGTAGACGAGATGTTCGACTATCGACCAAAGGGCGGGTGTACTGCTCATCAGTCCGCTCCGTCCTCCTTTATGGTTGTGAGACCTGGCCACTGAGAGTGGAAGACATGAAAAGACTAGCTGCCTTTGATCATAGGTGCCTGCGTTCTATTTCCCGTGTACAGTGGCATAATAAGGTGAGCAACATGGAGGTTAGGCGTAGAGTTCTAGGTAAACAGGGGAAATCAATCGACGAAGTCGTGAAGCTACAAAGACTGAGATGGTTAGGACATGTGTTACGTATGCCAAGCCATCGCCTCCCTCGACGAGCTATGTTAGCGGATATAGGGTCAGGCTGGAAAAAAGCTAGCGGCGGTCAAACAAAAACTTGGCATCAGTCAATGAAATCCACAACAGTTGGTCTTAGCCACGTAGGAAGGTGTAGACTTCCAGACTGGTTGGGGTCCTCGGGACGGTAAAAATCTATGGTTGGAAACAATTGGTGACATGGCTCAAAATCGTTCTCAGTGGCGCAGATGCATCCACTCCCTGTGACTTATGGTCTTCAATGAAACTGTTTTGTATTTCTTTATTACTCCTTTCTCTCACACCTCTGCTCACTGTTTCTATTATGCTTTTCTTGTACTTTCTTCTCTTGCTTCGCGTGCTACACGGAATGTGGCGACTTGAACTTCCGCACATTTGTGCAAAGTTCTATGTCGAAAACAGACAGACAGGTTGGAAAAGAGTTAATGGTGGTCAAATGAAAACATGGAATTAGTCAATGAAATCCAGTCAGTCATGCAGGGAGGTGTAGACTGGCTGGCTAGTTGGAGTCTTCAAGATAGTAAGAACCAATTGTTGGAGTTGATTGGTGATATGGTTCGAAATCGCTGTCAATGGCTGGAGCAGAATTCATTCACTCTTAGTGATCTGTCATAACCAACAAAACACTACTGTTTTCTCATAGTAATGTTCTTTCCCCTTACATTTCTGATTATTGTATCTCCTTTGAACTTCACTTGTTTCTTTATGTGGTACGTGGAGGGTGGCGACTCCAAATGCCGCACATATGTGCAAAGACCTACGTTGAAATTAGTAAGTCTTTCAGACCAATACATCATACGGACTAATGAAAGCTGTCCGGATGATTGACCAACTGGCAACTCTTTTGCTGAGACCCTCCTTTGCGCAAAATTCTATGTTGACACTCAGTCTGTGCGACCCCCTTGGACTCTATTAGTTGCAAAATACATCTAGATGAGTTCAATAGGCTTGTTTCGAAACTCGGGAAGTTAATATATTCATTTTACCTGAAGGTCTTGTGAACTTGTACTCCAAAATCGATGCAATTGTTTATTATTATGACTCAGAGTGTATACTCCTGCCACAGAATTTAACAGTATGCATCATGATCGCATTCATTTTTGGACTAGTACTTCTTCCGAAGAGTAGCACCCATTTATGACTAACCACGGGAGATTAGTCTCTTTAAGTACATTTGACGAAAATATGTGAAATGCGAAACACCACCTGTTTCTAATGGGTACTTAAATTAACTCAAGAATGACATCACGATGGGTACTGCTGAGAAGTCTGTTTTAGGATATCACACAGACACTGATCAATATCAAATGCCACCACATGTAGTTTCAATAACAATATGCACCATAATCTGTTTCTTCTCCTTCCACCAGTTAATGATCACATAAAGAACATAGTCTTTCTTTCAAAAACTCACTTCTACCACTAACTACTTAGAGCATTTTAAGTGGAAACTTACAACTACTCCTACTTTCTGAAAAACTGCATGAAAGTGCATTAGAATGATCACAAATGTAGAAGAATGACACGCATCAACTTACCATTTTGTTTACGAACGGACTCTCCACTTGTCCTTTCGCCCCCAATATTCAGCATGCTAGCAGCGTTAACCGACATGATTGCAGTGATTATACAAATACCGCCAAATCCCGAGTGTCAAGGTGAGTAATGCACATTGGGAGCAAAAGGTGAACAGACAAACAATGTAAAAATTCTGAGGTAATTAAACAATATTTATCCAGAAATGGTCGTAAGCACTGCTAATTTGGTAGAAACTTTAGAATGACTTGGGAGAGGTTACAGTACAGTAGTAGAGATTATAGTGAGAAAATATATGGCCACCCATTAACAGTTTGCCTAAACCTGTGTTGTTTTGTGCTGTGTTTGAGGAGGTTTCTTTGCATATCAGCTCCTCCGGATGGGAGGGTAGGGATTTCACTGCTTCCAAGTTGTAACACAAACTGATAACTACGAAGGGAAGTGAAATTTTGCACGCCACTGTTTAAATTCAGCTTTATAGAAGTTTTCACACTGCCGAAATATCCTTTACTATCTAATACACTAGGGAAGCTCATAAACTCTAAATCTAATTCTTCCTGATCGGGTTATTTTTTGGGTATTGCACCAATGTCAATAGTCGTGAACATAGAACATTTGTTTTTAGAACTGGTAGCCATTTGTGGGCAACTCGAAGGCGCGAATGGTTCGATGGCGTATAAGTTCGACGAAGACGAACAAACACGAATAGAACTACATAATAAATTTGTATAAAACATTTGTTTGTAGACTTGTATAACTCTCCGCTTTAACTGACAAACAATACAACTTCCTTCTTAAAATACTGGTGTTTTGGAGTTAAAGTCGAAGAAAGTACATAGTATTTATTGGTGCGGAGCGTCTTCGTACCAATAGGAACTTAGGGATAAGTTCCTTAACAGTTTTTATTCGTTTTCTGGAGCACCTTCTGTAACTTCCAGGACTACTTACTGGGTCTGCAGCCAACATCTCTTTGGACACGATTATCAACACAATTTGGATTCTTTGCTGACGTTGGATAATCCCTGGGTCAAGAAAGGGACGTGGCACCATGGACGCAGACAAAAAAGTACGTAACGATGAGTTGTCTGTTAATTGTAATGATATGCATGATGCGCAGCATGATGAGTCTGGTGTTCACGCTTCGCTGTTTAGGGATAGTAGTGCTTTAAGACTCCCCAAATTCCAACCTCGGTACTTTGATAGAAACCCAGCCGACTACCCACAGTTGATCAAGGAGTTTGAGGTCATGCTGAGTGGTTTTATTTTAAATAACGAAATGAAGTTAATGTATTTACTAAGGTTGTCAATGTAGTTGAAGACTGAACGATCAATTCATAGTTGTTTGCTCAAACCCAACTCTATATTTTTCGTAGGAGTCATCAATCCAGCAGTCATCGTCTCATCGTTCGCTGTTTGGTGGAAGAGAGAAAACTATCAGAAGTATTATCGGGACTTATTGTTATAACATTTATTCTTAAACCTTATGTATAATAACCTTATTGTTGGTTACATACTGGCATAAGAATAAAGGATTCTTGAGACTCCAATCTGTGTTCTGGTTTTTTCGCCTTGGTTATTACAAATTGTTTCTGAAAGTCTTCCAGGGATAGCTTGAGGTCAAGCGTAGTATGAGCTGGACATTGACAATTTCTGAAAGTTGGCTGACAGAGGTATTGCACTGGTGTTTCTGCAAGAGCCATACAGTGATGCAAGTTTATGCCCCCGAACGAAGGATAAACAGAGGCTATGAGGATACTACATCAAAGGTTTGGAAAACCATTTATAACATCCCGTAGTATTTTTGAGACCGTAAAAGGTAATAAATCACAGTTAAATGATAATTCAGAGGAACTCGCAGAGTTCTTGGACAATTTATTGACACATAGAAATACTCTTAGGTCTCTTAATTGCGAAGATGAATTGAATTCAAGTTCCGTGCTTGAGACTGTTGCCAAGAGATTACCAGTTCGTCTGCAAATAAAGTTCATAAAGATCAGCTCCCGTCTAGAAAAGGAGGGTTTAGAGCCCGGGTTGGATGATATTGTGAGCCTGGTGAAAGACAGTGTCAACCAGGCTTTGAGCGAGTTTGCTAGTATACTGCATAGAGAAATCAGAGAGTAAAACGCAATCATTTATGACGAAAGGCTCCCAGAGAAGCGGATATCGAGAAGGCTTTATGGTGTCTAGTAATCCTAACAAACCTAATGAGTGTGGCAGCTTTCGTGGGACGTCCCCAACAGACAGGTAACAAACTGCAAAACAAACACGATCGTGTTTCCTCCATATGCAAGAAGTGCATACAAAGGCGAACTGTGAAGCGATGAGCAAGTTTAGTAGTAAGCTAAATGGTGAAGTCGATCATAAGAACGGCGGTTAAGTGAATATTTGTGATAATGATCATGACAGTTCACATTTGTCTTTGGCTGGTCATGACGAGATAAGCGGAATGCCCACTACTACTGAGTTGAACAAAGGTTCTGTACAACTTGAACGTGGAGTTAAAGGCAGATGTGGTGGTAGAAGGTATGGATACTCATGAGACCATCAGCGTAAACGATCAGCGTGTAGCCCACCTATCGACAGGTGTCAAAGCTAAACTGGAGCTAATAATAAAAGACAGTAGTGGTGGAAATCTTGCAGTTAGACAACCTTCTAAAGACCAAACAGCGACAGTTTCTGATGCACCGCTAAATTCATCAACTGGTATCAGTCAGCCGTCGTTGGTGGTGTCATACACAATGAAAGGGATGTCCATGAACTCATGTGCCTTATGCTATGACTATGCTAGTATCAGTCCGTTTGAAAAGACGAAGGTCAATGGTGAGTTTAATGAGGATAAGCCAACTGTGTATGAGAAGGTAATTGTTAAACTGACTTGCATGAATAAAGGCCTTTCAATTTTCAAGTTACTATGTGAATGCTATTATCTTCGGTGTAAATTACTCTGTTGCTACGCTTGGTTGGTCAGATACGTCATATGTTTGTCAGTCATCCATATTCTACGATGCAATGACATGGGCGTGTTACCGTTCAGATTTGAGGATATAGATGATAGAAGGAAATCAGCAAATGAACTCTGCGACGATTTTCCAACCTAGGGCGTCAACCTGAGAAGGGTTGTAGGCGTACTGCTGTAAGTCCTACAGTTCTTCAAGGGTAGTTCGTCAAGGCAGAATCCACAACATTTGATGCATTGATTGTACGTATGTTTGTGTTAAGTGATTGAGTGGGTTCCACTTCATCTAATTGTTGCTTAGTTTTATAGTTGTCGCATTGTGTGAATCATCTTGTAATGTTATCGTTAGTACTTCTGAAGTCGTTTCTAGTCTTCTAAACTTGTGAACGAATCGAGTAGTGTTAGAGTCAGTGTATGCGATTTGATACGCCGGAGAGAGGATTGTGCCAGAGTGATATGAAGCAACCAGCACCTCGTGGACCAGATCAGTGGTGGTACTGTCAACAGAGGGCGAAGATCACACACGCCGGGGGGAGCGTGTCGGTGTGACGTGGTACGCTTGTTGTATGTTGGGCTTTTTTGTCTTGCTTTTCCATTTTAGCCTAGTCCTGGTTGGCCCAGGCTCCCGCATTGGCAATTCAGTTCGAGGTTATCATCACTATGGAAGAAAGGGATGGACCCTTTTTGCCGAGGAGTGTAAATGGACTTGAACATTGATTCATTGGCCTTGGCCGTCATTGGCGGGCAACTCGAAGATATATATATCCACAGTTTATATTCGTTAACCAATTACCAAACTTGTGATTTCGGTTCAAATCAAACGACATGTAATGTGCATCGGTGGCACAGTGGTTAGGACTCTCGCCGACCATGCACATGGTCCGGGGTTCGAGCCCTCACCGACGCACACCTGATATCTATGGTCGGCCTGAGAAATTTGGGCTACCGATATCCATGCTGAAAATTACATACTTGTACCAAAAATTCGGTGTGGAATCCAGCCGTTATCAAAAATAAAATAAATAAATAAAGTAAATGTTCAGATATACACAGTATCCTGTTACCGATACAGTATATAACCGTGGGAAATGTATCCTATCCCTTACATCAAATAGGATGTTCAAATAATAATAATAATTTTATTTTCATATAAACATAAATTTACATGAAAATGCATGCCATTTTTACAGGCACGATCAAGTATGTTATAATGTCAAATCTTAAATTGTCTACAAGTTAATAATGTTTCAACAGTTAAATATTTGATATATATATATATATATATATATATATAATTACACTCATTGTCTGAACCAGGCCGTATAGTTATTGAATTTTACAGTTGTCCTCCAGGTTGAGCGGGAAAATCGACTTCTTTTCATTTTCATCCCGTGGTTGTAGGCATAAGATAACCAACCAATATTGAGGTAAGTACAACGTTTACAAGGGATTGAAAGCTGTTTTAGAAAAATTAAAGTGCTGAGGTGAAACATTAAAGTGTAATAGATTAAGTGAGTGAAATATATCATTAATAAACGGATTTATATAGAAAACAGAATGGGGAAGTAATTAATCCTTAGGCCGACAACAGATATATTGTATTCTGTTGATAATCCAAATTAAATATGTGAGAATAATATTCCGTTGGCATATATTGTCTGTATCACATACACCACAGCATTAGTGCTGTTTTGGAATAAAGCGAGTTATTATTATTTAAGACAAACACGAGTTACACTGTGACAACCATATTCATTCGAATAGTAACAACGAAAACCCAGAGCAGTAAACTCTTTGTTCATAAGTATTGTTAGTGAGTGTACCCTTGTCCCCATGTGTATACCAAAGCTTATCAAGCATTTATTAGCTCTAGAATTTCTACAGTTATCTATGCAGTATACATGATTTAAGGAACTAAAGCTGACTTAATGAGGCATTTGCGGTTTCACTGTTTTAAGGTATGTACTTAGACATGCATGGCTTAATCTCTGAGACAAGCATATGACTACTGGCAGGATCAACCAGTTTATTTACACGGTGACACACCTATTGACTGGGTATTGGTTTTAAGGAGAACCAAACACACCCATTCCACCTCTTGCAAGATGAGACCGGCATGCAG